GTGTTCCCTGCACGTCAAAAGGAGACATCTCTATATCGGGCCCAGCGTTGGTGTAGACGTACCCACTGCAGGCAATATCGGCGCGAAGCAGAGCCGTTTTGTGTCTGGACCGATTCGTATTTTGCTGGATAGGGTTAATGGTGGTTGGCACGAGGCAGTAGTCAGCTGAACAGGCGCATCGTCGATGTCGGTTTGCCTGGAATGCCTGCTGAAGCAGACTTAGTCAGGCTGATTATTCAACGGACTCGGCCGCAACGCACGAGCAGAATTACTGACAGTATGTCGTTAGGAGCGTCGTGTTTCTCCCGAGAAGTGCGGAGAATAAACAAGACGGACCCAGCTGTGGCGATTGCGAGATTCGTAAGGGAACGAATACTACGTAAAGAAGCTGGACAGGCGGTTTTCTCGCTCCCTTGCCGGTCTCGTAAACGCATCAATGAGGGGACGGCGCAAAGACTGGTACGGTCATGTTTGAGGTGAATCAATGACGGCATGAGAAATTTCCCAAAAGGACCAACGAAACCACTTAGGGCCAGTTGTTTGGATTGTTGGCGAGAAATCCACGGTGATCCTGTCGCAAGTGGCAGGAACACAGCGAGCAGGAGCAGGAGCAAGGAGCTGCGAAGGTTCGCCGCCGGGGGGCGCGGCCGCGTCGGCTCCGTGGCTCGGCGGTCCCAATCGGAGAAGGTGTGGTTTGGGGGCCGAACAGCTCGTGTCGAGGCCTTTCGGTCCGTGGGCGGGGATAGCGTCTGGAGGATAAGCCAACCATAGCGACGCAAGTTGGCTTTGGAGTCGGCGGAGACTGCTGGTCTTGTCTTTGAGCCGAAGATGGTGTAGCAGGCAGAAGAAGAAAGACACAGTTTGGCGTCATCTTAGGTCGGTGATTCGTTACCGTCTGGTCGGCGACACGGTGAAAATAGATGTTTTCCCAGTTTTCCCAGGGAGCGAGGGGCATGCTGCCTGTGGCAAGCAGCAAGCGGCAAGCGATAGGTCGGCCCCTAGGATTAGAAGAGGAATGATGATTGGAGGCGGCGGGTCGGGGTTTGTGGCTGTGTCGGGTGGGTGTCTGCGGCCGCTGGACTGGCTTGAGAGATGGAGAGTGGTCGGCCGTAGGGGCGGGCAATGTATTCTGGCGATGCAAATGGAGGTGATGGTCGTTGTCGGTTGCCAGAGTCCGACGAGGTGTCGTCGGAAAAGAATGTCTTGCTGGCGATGGTGCTTTGGTTCTGGGGTACGGTAACCACGGAGGACCAGCAGGAAGGGACTTCCTTGCTGCGATTCACAGATCACAACCAATTTTGGCAAGCACGAAGGCCGCCGCGGGGGGCGGCAGCGGCAGCGGCAGCGGCAACACACGCAAGGCAAGTCAGGTCTAGACGAGACAGGCAGGAGCATTCCCCGTTCCTCATTCCTCATATTCCATACGGATGTCTAAGGTAGGAAGCAGATACCGTAGATGCAGGTCATCTGGGCTGAAAATACCTTACAGCGGGTGATCGTCTGCAGCTCCTTGACTCAAGATTGGACGGAGCGCATTCCATCTTGGGGTGGCCCCCTCCTAATTGGGCATCTGCACTTCACTTCTTGCTCCTTCCTCCTGCTGCTGCTGCTGCTGCTGCTGCTGCACCTGCCCATCAATTACCTTACCTAACCTTACCTTCCTTGCGTATTCGTACCCAGGCAGGAAGTAAGGCGAGTTTGGCAAAGGGGAAGGAAGGGACGAATGGATTCGCGTGGGGAAAGAACAGACGACGACTCGACCTGGCAGCCTAACGGGCAGCAAGGAAGGAGGGAAGGAGGTGAGGAGAAGGTGCACCCCAGCTGCATAGCATTCTGAGGTTTCCACTGCCGGCCTTACAACAGCGAATGAGAGACCACTGAGGTTCGAGAGGCAGCTGAAAAAAAAAAAAAAGGACTTGATACATCGCCAACTTGGCCCAGCCAACCAACAAGCCACTCCACCACAATCACTCCTGGCCTCTTCTCGATCCATTGCACACCACTCCGTCTCTGGCCAGTGGCCTGGATTGGGGCAGACTCCTTTGAACTCACCATTCGTCAATCAACCCGCAGTCACCTTACAAACGCCTTGTCAGACGCCCTTCACCCATTCTGCTCAGCCGAGGCCGATCGTTTCCTTCCTCTGTCCATCTCGCTCCAACGACTTTGAACCTGCAACTGCACCTGCACCTGCAGTACGGGGTACCTACCTTATCCACCGATCCTATCCGCACACTGACTTACACTTCCGTATCCGCCTACCACTCGTTTCTTGGCGCCTAGTCGCCCACCAGACGTCAATAGCTGAAGCTCGCAGCCGCTCCGTCACCGTCTCACACACACTCGCATTACACGTTTGCCAATTCCCGGTACTTGCTCATGCGCCATGACATGCAGACTCCAGGTCGGAACCGGTCCTGAGTTCTTTGTCCGTCGCATCGCATCGCATCCTGCTCCGGCATGCCGATTTTCGGCAACCGATTGCCAGTGACGACATGTCATATCCGGCAACAACGGTAGACATGTCCAGGCCAGAAACTGCTTGATCTCACCTTTCTACACACGTCTGCCACCATCTTATTCTTGCAGCCTCTTTCACATTTGCATCACGATCGCCCACGGGTCCTTACGGATCCAATGCTCCCAACGAGCACCATCTTGAATAGGGGGGGTACATCGATCGACACCACAGGGCTGGCTGATGAACCAATCGTTCGATGGAAAGGGCCTAGAAGAGGAACAAGCTCGCAGTCATGGCACCCGCCTCTGCGACACTAGACAAGCAAGACAAGGCAGGGATCCCAGATGGCGTGGCTGTAGGGCGGGCTCACCTCAGCTGAACCAGGTTACCAAGTAGCTTCCCCCGCTCCACTCGCCCACGCTAACTGTTTTTTTGCGAGAGTCCTCCCAGGTCCTTTGCCGAGGTACAATATACAGCAAGGTACAGATATAGAAAAGGACTAAGCAACCCTAATAGATATAACCTAAGGTGTGAACATAGAAGTACTATACTTAGTACTAGAAGATATAGAGGTCTTAAAAGAGATAAAGACGAAGTAAATAAAATACAATAACTTTTCTTTATAGTAACTTTACTAAAGTTATAGAAACTTTACTTTATATAAAAAGAGTAATAATAAAATAAATAGCTAATACTTTATTTATTAATTAATATAATAATAAACTCATAATTTAATAACTTTAAAAATAATTTTAATTTAAAAAACGCTATATATACTAACTTTTTAGTAACTAGTAAAAATATATAAAAACTGTAACTAAAAAAAGTATAAAATCATTTGTAAATATAACTAAATTTAATACTAAAGATATTATTACTGTATTTATTTTTAATACTTATTTCTAGAAATAAACTAAATTATAGTTAATAGATTTATAGATATAAACTTTATATTATAATTATAATAAATATTAATAAAAGAGAATATATAAGAAAAAGTAAGATCTTACTATAGCTCTCTAAAATAATAAATATACTACTTATAAAACTACTCTATTAAAGGTTTTATTAATCGCTTAGATCGTATAAGAGGGGTAGAATAACTATAAAAGTTAAGAGATAAAGTAGTATACTAAAACTAATTTAAGAGAAATTCAAATAAATCATAAGCCACTCATACCCTAGGGTGGGGGGAGGATCCCAGGTCCTTTGCTTTTGCGACCGCTTGACGCTTGACGGGTCATCTGCTCTCGAAGCGTCCCTATCCCCCGTACAAGGACCCTAACCCCACGGCACGGCCATCAGCCGAATACAACGACAACAGAGCAAGTCGCCGAGCCGCCACTGTGGACTGTGGACTGTATTTCCTACGAGGTGGATAGGTCAGCAATGTCCCAGTCCAGTTGCCCAGCTACAGCTGCCTGTCATTTGAACCACTTGCCACGCGCGCGCGCCTCCGTCCTCGACTCGCGAGACATGGACTCGGATTCTGTCCATATGCGCTGGAGTTCAGCTTGCTCTGTCTGTCCACTGGGAGCCTCTGTGGCATTGGCTACCATTTGCCATGTTGCTATTCTCCCTTGCAGCTTGCGCAGTGCTTCGTCATACTAGAGCCCGGCGAAGCAGGATGCGCGTCTCTCACGGTGGATCGGCCACCGAGACTCCACGTTGCGCCGACTGACACTAGGACCAAGGCCGGGGGACCAGCCCAGCTGGTATGGTCGTCTGGAGCGGTACCCTGTGCTGCGGTCGCCCACGTACGGTCCATTCGCAGGAACTGTGAACATCCTGTTGGGCTGAACGACAGGGATCCCCTGACGCGGTTTCGAGAGAAAAAAATCGACCCCAAATGTCGCCGTCCATTGCCCGTCCCAACCTGCCAACAATAGCCAGCAAGAAAAAAAAAAAGAGTCCGAGCCGACCCAATCCAAGGCGTAATCTGCGGCTGCCTGTCAAATCTATGGTCAAACACATGGGATTCCTACACCGCCTGAATTGGGGTTTCGTTTACCATCTCGTTCTCCGTCCCACTCAGAGAAGCCTGTCCTTATCAGAAGCGCGTTCGGGCGCATTACATTGCCATTACCAGGCTTGTTGGTGCTGACAGGAACTGTTCTCCAGGCCGTCCGCGCAGACGGGAAGTGTACGGCGTAGGGTTCCAACAGCGTTTCTCGACCAAACCCAGGAAGCGAGGTCAATCGCCTTCCAACTTACACCTACATGATGACCGCATCTTCAGAGTATCATGGCGTCTTCTTCGCCCGGGTCTCTTCCCCACCTTATTCCTGCGGACGCGCCCGTGGGCCACCCCATTCACGCCCGTTTCTGCAACACTGCTTCACATTGAAGCGTCTCCAGCCCTAAAGACAGCCAGTGGAAGTGGTTATCTGCACACCTCTACAACCGCCGCCTTGCAGCAAAAACAAGCATGGAAACAACAAGGCCAGCGTATCCGTAGTCGCCATCGTGACTGATGACTGAACTTGGGCATCTAATGGGCCCTGACTAGCGCCATTGGCCTGCCCCGGGCTCTCGCCTAATGCTAATTTCAAAAGACAGAGAGAGGCTGACTGAGGATGAAGACGGCGCACTGAAAACGGGAACTCAGGGCTCACCTTTATTCCGCGCAAGCCAAGCCAAGGTCAGGATGCTTGCTGCCCGTCAACTCATACACACCTCCCCTTCGCCGCACACCCTCCCATGGTGGCCTCGAACCCCTTCATTTGGTCTATTATCTCATTCCTTCTGGCAGCCATTTCCCTGCCGGGCCAGATCTTGCAAGACCAACTCGGAAGCAGATGGCATCGCAACTCCATCGTGCCTCGTCTCCCGCGACATGGCGCATCGACACCATGTCTATATATATGATACAGTATCCTTCCCATTCTGTCCGCAATCCTTCCACCCCACCACAGCTCCCGTCCCCTTGACGTCTGCCACCAAACCCGTCTCCCAATCCTCATTTATTTGTTGGATTGTCCCCGGGCACAAAGGAATCTGTCATCGTTGCTGACAGACAAACAAAACCTTTGTAATCTAGACAGCGTTGCGCACCAAGAAAAAAAAAAAAAAAAAAAAAAAAAAACGACCTGTTGTCTCATCCTCCTCCTACTGCGACCTGCATTTGCCAAGCGCGGAACCTGACCTCGACTTACTTCACTACGCAACGCCAGGGAACTTTGGTAGCCGCTTTGTGGTAAGTCAGTCGTTTACTACAATTACTGGGTGCAACCGCTCGCCGCGACGCTGGAACCTCCATTTTCAACTTTACCCATGGGTTTCAGAGCTCGCGGCACAGACTGAGCCTCGCCCCCTAGCGCGCGGCATCCACTTCAGCAAGATCAAAGACTTACACCTTTCGGCCATATAGAACCCGGCAACCCTCTCTCCCTTGCTTTCTTTTCTTCGGCCTTTTCCACTCACCTCTCGGTCACTCGCCCTCTGAAATACCCAAAAGCAATCGGTCCAAAACGGAGCCTTACTCGGCACCTTTCCCACCCGACTTACGGCAGATGCGGCGGGCGAGGCCCACCATCCCAACCCCCTAGTCGCTTATGTCCAGCAGCGCCTTTTCATTACTCGCAAGCCACCGTTAGGTCTTGGCCTGGTCGCCGGACACACAGGCATACCCCAGACGTGCCACCACACCGCATCCCAAGCGTGCTGAGGAGTACCTCTACCTCAGCCAGAAGAGAGGCGACCCCCAATACGACCACCAACCAAACTGATCACTTACCACAATCGACCCTTTAAGCAGCCATGCCTGCCGTCACGCATGCTGAGCTGGCTGTTGAGCAGCCGTTGTCGACCATCAGCTCTTACCATCTCTTCTCAGCTTCTCATATATGCGCCGGTCTCGCCATCTTGGGCCTTCTTGCCATCTTCCGCCTCGTGGTTCATGCCATGTCCAAGTCAAAATCAGGAAACGGAAATACCAGCCAGGCTCACCGAGACGGGCAAGTTGATGACGATCTAAGCCACTTGGTCAATCAGCAAAGTCTCCATCATCACTTCTTCCACGATAGGATCTGGCCCATGGAGGAGAAGTCACGTGGAGTCAGCAGTAATACCGCAACTGCGGAGGATGGGTTCAGCAGGAAAACAGGCCCATTTTCGAGCCTCTCGACGGAGAATGCCCAAGACGCAGGCGCGCATAAGGATAATGAAGGTCGTGAGCGTACGCCGTCACCTGGCAGCATGTTCGGCCCGGGAAAGCTTTCAGGCCTTACATCGACAAGACTAATGATGTCGAGGCCGCCGCCCCCGCCTCCGCTTACGCCCCCAGAGCTATCCCCGTCTGTTTTCACGTACGATGATCGCAGGAGGAGTTTCACCGGCTTCACCTCGGAACTCGATGCATCTTTCTTTGAGCAGCCCAACCCAGACTACATGTCGTCCACAGAGACAGAGACTGAGACTGAGATGGCGACGACAACGGCGACGCAAAACGTTCAGACTACGAGGTCATCACCGACGCCTCGTAGGCGGTCTTACACCAAAACTTTACCTATTGGGATACCAGCTACCACGACGGGTCCCGCTTCTGATGGACATGGAACTGTCTTTTCTCCCTCGTCATATCCGCCAACATCACCTCTGCTTCCAGGGCCGCCGCCGATCCATGGAGAGATCCTTGAGGATGGAACCTTTCGCGAGATCAAGGTGCAAGGCGAGATCATTTCGATGCTGGACGGTAGCGGAGCCGGTTGGAAACGCCACACCAGAGTGTATGGAGGCGGTGCTTGCCTCGCATGCGCGGCATCCTGCGACGATGGTCACCACGGCGGCTTCTATGGCGAGAACGTTCTGCCAGAAGAGAGACGCTACTAGGGCCACACGCATCACCAGCTTCGGCTTCAGGTTGGATTAATATGGGTTGTCTATATGAAGAAAGCGGACATTTCCTCGGCGCGTAGAGTGATGATAGAGGACTTCAGCATCACGGTAGGAGACCAAAAATTGGGGCGGCACACAGTCTCACTCGGCAGGGTCTCGTCTAGAGCATCCCGGATTTTTCCTTCTTTCTCTTTTTTATCATCTATCTTGTTTACCCATCTGCCTCACGGCCTCACGGGGAGTTTGGCATATCCTGTACTTGATTTCCTTGTGTAATGACCTTTTCTCGGGCAGTGGAGAGTGGAATCATGGGCATGTGGGGTGACAAAAAAGGCATCGGGCACCTGTTTTTCCTTGTTTGTTCGCGAACTCATTTCTTTGCAATCTTTACGCATAATGACGCTTATGACGACACATTTCTTTCTTTCCCTTTCCTTAGTTTTGTGTGTTTGATAAGCCAAGGTTCCCGCTCAATGTTGGGAGCTGGGAACTAGTCTGTTGAGCAAGCAGGGATGTATGTATGTATCTCGAGTTGTTTTGAAGGCAAAGTCTGTTGGTAATCTCGTGTGTAAGTTGAGTGCGGAGTAAAGAAGAGCCTGGAGTGATGCGGTGGGGGGAGTCTAGCTCCTTCTTCGCATCCGCGAACAAGCAAATCTTTGGATATTTTGCAAAGTACATCCCATGGCCGCCTAAGCTGCCCTCAGCGCTTGAATGCAGTCTCAGCCCGAACCGCAGATCAGCCATCGCTCACTCGCAAGGCGACAATCTGCATCAGGATGGGATTCACGGCCTCCCGCTCGCTTGGCCGCTGATGTAACGCGAATATGCCCCAAGTGGCCCGGCAGCCGAACCAAAGTCCCTTTCCCCCCTCTCTCTCGCAAGGCAGCAGCATACGTGATGAACTCTGAGTGAGTGAGCTCAAGGACTCCTTCGCCTTGGCTCGATGGCGGGGTGATTTGACTCACTCCCCTTCTTATAGGTCAATCGTTTTGACATCCATGACCGGCAACTGGAGGAAGGGTCAAGCCGAAAAGAAAAATAGAAACAAAAATGAAGCAAAAGAAACCAGAGTGGACTTCTGCGCAAGACTTCAATCATCGGCGGGTGTCTTTAACTTCACTCGGTGGTGAGTGATTCCAGCAAATGTCGCCGCCGTCATTGACCAAACTGGTCTCATTCCCGACTCCTGTAGACAAGGTAGCTGCTGCCGACTTGAGCTGTCGGGATCAGGAATGTCGCCAATATACCAGTAGATAGCTTCAGTTCAGGTTCGATCTCGTGTTTTCATGAGACGCAACTCATGACGGCCGTGCCAGCCAGCCTCGTTGCGTTTGAGGATAAGCTTGTGATAAGGGTCACGAGCGGGAAGGCTGTCATAAAACCTCGTCATCTTCGCCGCGGCGCGAGTCTTACGTTGGACCGCCCGACTGCGCTTGGCGGTGGCCTTGCTGTTTTTCTCCTCCTTTCTCATTTGAAGTATATCAGATTCGGCCATGTGATGCGTGCCTCAAAATCGCGAGCGCGCTGCTCTGGGTGCCCAAGGTGTGAAACGGCGTCGCGTCGTGTCAGCTCCCCGGACTAAATAGGTAGGATTATTCGAGGTTATGATCAACAGCGGTGAATGCTATCCACGCTGGCTCTGCCGTTCCCACTGCTTCCGCCGCTGTGCCTGCATTCTCAAAATACCAAAGCCTTTTGTTGAGGGCAAGTGGAGATGCTTTTACCGCTTCTGCCAAGAACCGGACAGGTCAGAGGGCGTTTTCGAGTAGGAGGAGGATGACTGAAAGACGGCTCCTCTTCATACAAGCCATGGTGCTGACCTTTCTCGCCACAAGTCCCTGGTCCGACTTCAAAACGACCCATCAGGAGAGCCAAGACGATACCGATTGCAGTGAACGGCCGTCTCCTTCGTTACGGCCCGCTTGAGGTAGTCCGCTGTGTTGGCCTGGTGTACGCTCTCAATAGAGGCATCCATTCCTTCCGCCGGGATACCAGACACGGGCCATCAGATAATCGGAGAATATTACTTAACCCCTCTTCTTGCCTCGTCCGTCATCTGCTTCACCCAGGAGCCATGCCGAATGAGGGCTGCTGTGCGAAAGACGGACGAACGCCTTCGGGACCGAGAAACCGACAAGCCCCAGGTTGCTCCCAGTTGCCATTTGACGATTGTCTGCATGACTACCTCTGTCTGCATGACTACCTCTGTCTGCCCGCGGCAGGATCGTGAAGGAGGGGATCGTCAGTTTGTTGGTGTTGGCAGGGCCGCAACCGACAACACCTTCCACCGCATTCTTAGCGGGTGAGAACGAAGGATCACTCTCCGCGCCGTAGTGTCGCAGTTGTACCTGGACTTGATGGATCATCTCCAACTCTAAAACCCCTGTCCCCCTCCTTGTGAATGATGTGGCCGTTCCACCCCCTCTACTCCCAACGATCTCACGTCATACTCGGGACATTCCAGAGAATCCTACCCTCCACCGGGCTATAACAGTCTTGGAAGCAAAGAAAATAAGGTCTTTGGTTGTTTGTCCCTGTTCTCGTGCTCTCGGGTTTCGAGTGTCCCAAGAGAGAGTATTGGTAGACGTAAGTCCTTTAGTAGACTCGGTAAAGGAATGTTAACCCTTTCCGTACAGATTATGAATAGTCCACAGATGCCGCTACGGTACCCGAGACCGCTCGAGCCGCAGAAATGCGGCTCTGTGTTAGGGCATATCTCTGATTTCTGCCGATGCGAACCCATGATGCAGATGAGACGATGTCTCCGTCGTGGCTATAGAACGTGTGGGGTCTCACGCCCAAAGACGTTGTCTGTCGTATTCGAACCTCAACCAAGTCAGCGGCTACCGCAACACATCACGTTGACTGCAAGTGGGTTGGTGGTGGCGTGTAGGATCTTGATCAGCAAGCCCACTGTGGGTTTTTTGGAGAAAGAGCAAGTGAGAGTGGTTGAACACGGACGAGGGAAAGGGTTGGTGAAACGAAAGGGGTGTGGGTGGACGGTCTTGTCGATTGATGGACGCGCTGGCGTCTGTCGTGCATGACAGCAGTCTTATTTGGCGAGATAAGGACAACGAGGGAACGAAGTGAGTGAGATCGTGAGAAGACTCAAGCTGTCAACGCCACGCGCGGATGGATCCCCACGCGTGGGATGCGCCATGGTGGATGGATGGATACGTGACTGCACGCATGTCAGCTGCCTTGCTGCTTACACACCCCCTTCTTCTGAGAACTTCTTCTTACTGGTAATTCGCTCTGTCTTGCGAGCTGTTTGCGTGATGTTGTCCATGTCGCTGTGTGGGTCATATTGTGAGGATTCAGCGGTGAGTAGTCAGAATCTGACGAAGATACGACAAAGTCGTTGATTTTTACTGAAATCGAGGTTGAAGGCAGACTCGTGGCAGCCATAGTTCCGCAGAGACATGGAGGACAGGAGGATTCAGAACCCTGGACAGAGCGACTTTCGAAGCCAGCCAGAGCCGCAGGATCCGTTTGGCAAATAGATTTGTGGCAAGCTATTGGCTTGCTATACGATGACTTCCAAAAGCAACGATTGGTTGGACAGATGACATCCGTCAGAGCACAGCTAGCGGCTGAGGTGATGGTTTGAGCTCAAGCTTCTCAGCCCTATGACACGGCCAAGCAGAACTTGCGAAATCCTTCCATAAAGTCTTGGCAGGAGGGGTTGATGTTGTCGTGAGACTTTGACGAGAGGTCGCATAAGCTCCACGCTACTGAGAGTGGCCCAGATTATCATTTCATGATCGATGAATCGGCCATAGCCAACATCTAACAGGGGGGAAACCCTAGAAGTCTTGTCTCACTGGGTGAGCAGTAAACGATCACCCCGAGCTACCAGCGATTTGCAGGGGCTTACACGCTCGCCGCACTGCCGGCGAACGTGTAGCACTTTTCTG